TCACTCACTCTCTCTTTCTCTCTCTTCTTCTATCTCTCTCTCACTCTCTCTCTCTCATCATTTCTCTCTCTCCCTCTCTCTCTCATTGCATCATTTCTGCCCATTTCTTTCTCTCTTGACGATTTATAGTGAGAGAAGAATCTGGTATGGCGGGGGCGACCGAAGGTCTCCCCCCGTTCAAGCTGGGGTGGTGGAGCCGTAACGACTGGTGGTGAAGAGCAAAGGAAATTGGGAGTTGGATCTGGAGGATCGAAGAAGAATGGTGAACGTTCAGGAGCTAGATATGGAGGATCTCTGAGTAAACTTGTGGCTGGGAAGTCGAAAGGCAAAACTCGGGACATAGGAAAGACGGGATCAGAGGGATCATCTGAAAGCTGCTGGGAGCTCAAGCCAAGGAGCTTGGATCTAAAAAATGGCAATGCTGATCGCTAAGATCGGTGGTCAGATGCGTGCGACTGCTAGGAAGAGGGAGGAGTCTCCGCCTAATTTGGAGATGGAGCTGGTGCCAGCCTCAGAAGTGAATATGATGATTAATCAGACCTTCGTTGGGACGAATTCTTCAATGGAAGTGGAAGGTCTGCAATCGGTGTTGGAGGAGAGTACAGATCTGGAAGAAATGTTTGATGTTAATGCGGATATGCCTAGTCAGACTAGTGTGATGAAGATTGTAACTAAATAGTCCTTGTTGAGTGCTGATCCTTTGATCGGAGCTGACTGCGTGATGGAGGTTAGTGCTAACTTCAATGAGCAGAACATTGATGTTATGGACTATGCTGGTAGTAATGGGAATAGTCCTATTCTTGTGAGTGAATCAACTGTGGTTGAGATGATAAAGGTGAATGAAGTAGAGGCAGGTTCTGCTGGATTGAACAATCTGCGAAATAGCTCTCCAAGTGATTGTGGGAATGCTGCTTCAGTTAGTAGGTCGGTGAATCTAGAGAATGCGAAGGGAAAGGCTCTGGTACAATTTGAGAATAGAGTTCCTCTATTCTCTGGTGTAGTGAGAAAAGCTTGGAGGAAGCCTGAGCACATTCCAATCCAACATCTAGAGGAGATAAATGCGCTATCGAATGATGGGATCTCTATTGATCTCAACATGAAGGTTGTTAAGGCGAATGTGGCCAAATTGGAAAGAGCTGTTATAGGGAAAATTCTGGGCAAGAGAGCTTCGTATTTCCTCTCGAAGTCAGAAATCCAGCGTCAGTGGGGACGTTTTGGGGAATTTCAGCTAACAACTCTAGGACATGACTGTTTTGTTTGAGTTTTTGGATCGATCGAAGCCAGGAATGAAGTGTTATGCGGTGGTCCTTGGTTCATCAGAGGTAATATCGTTGGGCTGGATAGATGGATGCCGAGCTTCTCCCCGGAGTCGATGGAAGGATTATCCTCTCCGGTCTGCATCTTCCAAATCTTCCTCTTCAGTATTGGCATGATTATAATATCGCCAGAGTTGCATCAAAGATTGGCGTGCCTCTGTGGATAGATGTGCCTCTGTGGATAGATGCACAGACGGGGAATTGGGGTAGAAGAGAATACGCCCGGGTTTGTGTTCGTATGAATCTGGCCAAAAAACGGCAACCTGGGATTTGGGTTAATGGCATGAATGGGAGGTTCTACCAAAAGGTAGAATATGAAGGCATTGGGCTATTGTGTTATGGCTGTGGGAAAGTGGGGCATCGGAGGGAGTTTTGTCGATCGAGAGCTGGCAGACAAGGGGAGTATGTGGTCAAAAGAGCAGGGGAACAATCAAAGCAAGTTGGTACGGGCGAATGTAGTTCTGCCCATAATTTGAGTAGTGGTGGGAGATTGGACCCTTTACAACCCAAGAAGAATAATTTACCTGTTGTTAAAACAGAGGGTGGAAGCAAAGGCAAAATGGTTGGCAGCAACGATAAAGGAGGGAGTGTAGATGCACAGGATGAACTGAACAGGGGCAAAGTTAATACGGATGAAGGATCGTAGAAAATTGAGGATCATTTGGGTCCTTGGATTCAAGTACCCCCAAGACGGAGGAGAAATGCACGAACACAAGGCAGGAAAAAGGAGAATGTGGGTGATAAAAAGAACTTCAATTTTCCTAAGCATGTGGACTTGAACAAGGTTCAAATGCCTGATAGTATGTTGAAGCCCACTCAGAAATAGAACAGGATGGGTTCTAAGCAGCGGTTGCCATTCACAGTTGGAATAAGAATGGCTAAGAGAGCCAATGCTCTGAAGGAGCTTAATCAATTGGGACCTATTCTGGAGGTTCCCAGGAAAAGAAAAAAGGAGATGATGGAAGCTACTAGCTTGGTTTTGGTGGAGGATCTAGGCAGCGGGGACGCTTCCCCTTTTGTTGCTTAATGTCTTCCATCATTATTTGGAATTGCAGGGGTGCTCGGATGAAACAAACTGGGAATTACTTGCGGAGCCTTATTGGGAACAATGAGGTTCATTTTATTGGATTAGTTGAGAACTTTAGTTGAATGGATGTTAATAGGTTGGTTGGTGGAGATTGGGATTATCTTCATTGTCCAGCTGTTGGTAATTCAGGTGGATTGCTTGCCCTATGGAAGAAGGATGTTATGAAATTTGAGGTCATGGCTACTGATGAGCAAGTGTTGATTGGTTAGGTGATGTTACCTAAGCTACAAGAATGGATTGTGGTTGTGGTGTATGCCAATAAGGACTACCATGCGCGTCGTAGTCTTTGGAATGCGATTGGCAACTTTATTAATGGGAACCTCCCAGTGATTGTGGGAGGAGACTTTAACTGTTGTTTGGATCAGAGTGAGAAGAAGGGTGGACAGAGATACAAGTACAGGTGGGAGCTCAAGAGATGTCTGCTTTTCTAGTAGATAATGACATGCATGACCTGGGATTTTTTGGGCCAAGATGCACCTAGTTTAATAATAAGACTAGGAATAGCAAAATCTGGGTCAGGCTAGACAGAATCTTGATGAATTTGGAGGGTCTTCGGCTTGCTCCTCTGGCTACTGTTAAGCATCTAATTAGACTGGCATCTGACCACTATCCGCTGCTTCTTTGTTTAGCTCCTACATTGCATAAACCTGAAGGTAGATGGCTCAGATTTGAAGACATTTGGATGACGTATCTGGTTACTTGGAAGATTGTGTGGAAGAATTGGACTAAGCAAGACTATGGGCAACTTGCGGATGTATTGAATAGGAAATGCCATAGAACTTTGAGGGCTCTATTTTTTTGGAGTCGTAACTGGTTGAAGGAATTGGGAGAGCTCAAGAATTCACTTGAGGCACACATGGAGGAGCTTTGGGTTATTGAAAGCAGTGCAAGGGTGCTCACTGAAGAGCAGGAGCAGGAGATGAGGAGGAAGGCAGTTGAATTGAAATCTACTTTGGCGCTTATTGCTACTTGGTGGAGACAGCGGGCCAAAACTAGGTGGATTGAGGAAGGAGATGCTAATTCACATTTCTTCCATGCTACGGCATCGGCGCGTAGGTGTGGCAATAGGATTGGGGAAGTTCTGAATTCAAATGGGGAATGTGTTGCTGAACCGAAAGCTATTCAATATGAATTTATGAACTTCTTTATGAGCAAATGGAGAGACAGACAAGTTTGTATGGATCATTGGCTGGATTTTCAGAGCAATGACAAAGTTCCTAAATTTATGATTGGAGGCTTGGAGGCTGCTATCACAGAGCAAGAGATCCAGAAAGCTGTATTCTCTATGGGGAAGAATAGAGCATCGGGAGTTGATGGTATTAAGTCAGCTTTCTTAAAATTCTATTGGGAAATTATTAAAAATGATGTATTTCATGCTATTTTACATTTCTTTAACTCTAACTTCATGAGTGAAAGATGGAAGGATGCTATGGTGATTTTAATTCCTAAGGTGGATAATGTTAATTTGCCATCCAAGTATAGGCCTATAAGCCTATGCCAATCTATTTACAAGATTGTTGCCAAGATCTTGATCAACCGGATGAAGCCAGTGCTGGAGAAGATTGTTAGTGAAGAGTAGGCAGCTTTTGTACCAGGTAGATCCATCTCTAGCCACAGGTTGGTTGCTCAAGAAGTTATGTGCAAATTTTAGAACTCTCTTCAGAAAGGTGGAATGATGGCACTCAAGGTGGATATGGAGCACGCATACGATTGTATGTAATGGGAGACTTTGCAAGCTATGATGAATTGTATGGGTTTTTCGGAGAAATTCACTCAGTGGGTGATGCAATGTGTTGTCATCCCAGGTTTTCCCTTATTATGAATGGGAATAGAACTCCATGGATCTATGCTAAGAGTGGACTAAGACAAGGGTGCCCCTTATCAACGTATTTGTTCATTTTATGCTCTGAGCTTCTGACAAAAGCTTTGAGGCAGAGGGGAGGACATCTTGGGATCTAGGTGACCAAGAATGCCGAGAAGATTTCACATCTGCTTTATGCAGATGACATCTTAGTATTTGCAGAGGCTTGCCGTGGCAGCGCCAATCAGATTATGAATATCTTGAATGATTATTGCTCGTGGACTGGACAAAAAATTAATAGTGGGAAGTCTGCTATATTGTTCAATAGGAGATGCCAGAGCTGGAAGAAGAGAATAATTTCTAAATTGATGGAGTTTCGTAAAGTGAATTCATTGGAGTACCTTGGATTGCCCCTGGTCATGAGGAAATTAGTTGTAGACGACTTTGCCAAAGTCTTGAAGACTGCTCATGAGAAAACCAACCTGTGGGGGAAGAAGCACCTGTCGATGGCGGGGAGAGCTCCCTTTATTAGAACGTCGCTGTTAACTATCCCTATGTACTTAATGACTCATACTGCGGTTCCTTTGGGGGTTCTCAGCAAGGTGGAAAGAATGTGTAGGAGGTTCTTATGGCGAAAGGATGTGAATAGCAGAGGGATGAATTATGTTGCATGGAATGAGCTGTGTCAACCTAGGGAGCAAGGGGGACTTGGATTTCACTGCCTTGCTTTATGGCAGAGTTCCCTGAGAGCACGTTTGGCGTGGGAGGTTCTACAAAATGACAATTCTCTATTAAAAAAGGTTGTCTTACCTAAATATGTGGCTAATATTTGGTGTTACAAGAAGGGAAGAAATGTGTCTATATCCTGGAAGGTGATCCTAGATGGTGCTGCGGCCCTTCGGTCCCATTCTCAGATGGAAAATTGGAGATGGCCACCAGGTGGATGTGCTGAATGATAAGTGGATCTTGGATAGGAACATTGCTCGTTGGCCTACCTTTGTGAATGTGGCTGAGCTTGAGGAAGATAATGTAAGTAAATTGTTAGACAGCTCTTTATAGTGGAATAGGGATATGGTGGAGAATTGCTTTGGGAAAGTCATGGGACAACGTATCATGGAGATTAGTACGAATAATGAGAATGGATGTGATTGTCCCGTACTCCTCTATTCACGGGTTGGGAAGTCTTTGGCTGCAATGGCTTATCGTGAGAAGATTGATATGGAGGCTTACCAATTTCATTGGTTACATAGACTGAAGCTGCATCCTAGGGAAAATTTTTTCTGGTGGAGATTGCTGAGAAATGCGATTCCAACGGCGAAGTGGTTTTTTTGCAGGGGACTAGCTGAATCCCCACTGTGCCCGTGGGGATGTAATGAGGATGAGACTATTGACCACTACACTACGAGCTGTGTTAAACTGAAACATGTTTTTTGCACTCTTGAGAAGTGGGGATTTCATGTGCCAGTGGTTAATTCTTTATTGGAGTTAATGAGGGAGATCTTTAATACGATTGATAAGAATCCGTGTAGGGGCAGATTGTACTGCTATGTTGTTTATTAATTATGGCGTGCAAGGAATGACTTGAAGCATACCAGAACTTGTAGATCTCCTGCTGTGATTGCTGCCACGGTGTTGTCGCTACTACCGAAGACGTAATATTCGCCTATTCTGGAGCAATGGGGTACCAACCAGCCCTTGGGGCTGCCTTCCCATAAACTTTGGTGCCCTTCCCCTCCAGGGTGGTTGAAATTCAATGTGGACGCTTCCTTGAGACCTTCTAATCGTGTTGGTTTGGCTATTATTGCCCGGAATCATGTTGGTGCAGTTATTTTTGCTGCTGGAAGGTGCTGTGAACATTGGGATGCAATGTATGCAGAGATTATGGCGGCTGAAGCTATTCGTGAGCTGTTGGAGGAATGGATGTTTGAGCTTGAAGGAATCATCATAGAGGGAGATTGCATTATTGCCATAAATTTGATGCAGAATTTGGATGATCGTCAGAATAAAGTCTATTACTACGTTGAAGGACCAGATCTTTCTTTCTTAATGGAGTTTAAACAGGTACTTTTTCAGTTTATACCCAGACAGAGAAACCGGCTGGCTGACTTCTGTTCTCGACTTGCTCTTGATGGTAGTTTTCTTTACATAATGTAAATGACAGTGAATTCCCCTTGACTCTATTGTCTTTGTTGAGGGAGGATAATGATAGGGTATAGAGGTTTTATTCCTTTGGTAGTTAATTGTAACTAGTTTTCTTTTATTATTAATGCAAATGTAGATATTCAGCTCTCTCTCTCTCTCCCTCTCTCT